CCAACAATCAACATGTCATCGACATAAAGCAAAAGAATTATAAAATCACCATCAGAGAATTTCTTCACAAACACACAATGATCAGCTATAGTCCTTTGGTATCCCTGCCCTATCATAAAGGCATCAAACTTCTTGTACCATTGCCTCGGAGCTTGCTTCAGCCCATATAAGCTTTTGTTGAGACGACATACAAGCTTCTCTTTCCCCTTTTCCTGAAACCCATCTGGTTGCTCCATGTAAATCTCTTCTTCCAAATCACCATGCAGGAAGGCTGTCTTCACATCAAGCTGTTCAATCTCAAGATTCAAGCTGGCCGCTATCCCAAGCATAACTCGGATTGAAGACATTTTTACAACAGGAGAGAATATCTCATCAAAGTCTACGCCCTTTCTCTGATTGAATCCCTTCACAACCAATCTGGCTTTGTACCTCGGTTGTGAGCTGTTCTCACTTGTTTTTAGTCTAAACACCCATTTATTCTTGAGTGCTCTCTTGCCCTTAGGCAGCTTCACTAGGTCATACGTGTTATTCTCATGCAAGGATTTGATCTCATCTTGCATGGCTGCTAACCACTGATCTTTCTGCTCATGACTAAGAACCTCTTCATACGACTCTGCCTCTCCCCCATTAGTAAGCAACAAATATTCATGAGCACTGTACCTGGTGGAAGGTCTCTTGTCTCTGGTGGACCTCCTAGGCTGAACAGGAGGTGATGAAACCGGTGGTGTCTCTGTTTAAGTAGCAGGATCATCATCAAACTCACCATCCTGCTCTGTCTCAGCTCCCCCTTCAGGAGAATCATCTGATTGTGGAGGAACTGGATCTAAATCAACAGGAATCTTAGGTGAAGATTCTGGCATCTCGCCTTTTCCCATATCATCAATGGTCTGGTCTTCAAAGAAAATCACATCTCTGCTTCTAAAAACTTTCTTTTCTACAGGATCCCAAAGTCTGTACCCAAAATCATCATTTCCATACCCCAAGAATACACACTGCTTGGATTTGCCATCAAGCTTCGACCTTTCATCTTTGGGAATATGAACAAAGGCACGACAACCAAAACTCGCAAATGCCCGAATGAGACATCTTTCCTGTCCAAACTCGTTGTGGTAGATCACCATCCAACGGAATCGAGGGAGATAGGTTGATCAAATCAACTGCTGTTTGCATGGCTTCACCCCAAAAGATTTAGGCAGCTTTGCATTCGAGAGCATACACCTAACCTTTTCGGTAATAGTTCTGTTCATTCTTTCTGCCACGCCATTCTGCTGCGGAGTCTTCGGAACACTCTTCGAAGTTTAATGCCATGGTCTCAGCAATACTTCTCAAACGGACCCTGTACTCACCACCATTATCCGCTCGAACACACTTCAACTTCTTGCCGCCTCTCTTTCAACTCTAAGGTGAAAGTCTTTGAACACATCTAATACCCGGTCTTTAGATTTCAAAGAAAAACACCAAACCTTTCGAGCATAGTCATCAATGAAAGTAACAAAGTACAATGCTCCACCCAACGACCTATCTTTCATGTAACATACATATGTATGAACCAACTCTAGAGCACTGGACTTTCTAGATGGAGGAGAATTTTGAAAGGAAACCCTATGTTGTTTACCATAGATACAGTCAACACAAGGTTCTAGAGCAGTACCTTTCACCTCTGGGAGAAATTGCTTCTTACCAAGAATCTGCAACCCCTTAACACTCATGTGTCCAAGCCTTCTGTGCCAGAGATTAATGGAGGCATTGTGAGTTGCATTCACCTTTCCATTCTTCAACTTTGCATTCAACACATACAAAGAGTTCAACTTTTTTCCTCTAGCAATAACAAGATTCCCTCTGGTAATTGTCCAACGACCACCACCTTCAGTGCTATGATAACCCTCATCATCAAGTTTACCAACGGAAATAAGGTTCAGACGCATATCCGGAACATGTCTGACATTCTTCAAGACAAGAGTACAACCTGTATTCGTTACCAATGATACCTCTCCCGTGCCGACAACATCGCATGAGGCTTGGTTGCCCATTCTTACACGACCAAAATCTCCAGGTAAGTAAGAGGTAAACAAGTATCTGTGAGGCGTCACACGATAAGACGCACCTGAATCACCGAACCAATCACTGTCGTGACTCGCAACATTAATTGTATCATCATCACAGTACACAAATACATCACTGGTAGTTACTACTGCAGTAGTGTCATCATCACTTGATTCATCCTTCTTGCCTTTACCTTTTCTCGCTCCTAGTTCTCTCTTGAGAACCCTGCACTCCCTCTTAAAGTGCTCATTCCCTTGACAATGGTAGCACACGACATCTTTCTTGAATTTAGACCGTCCCCTGGACTTGTCATTCCGATCACGTGGCCCTCTGCTTTTACTTCTCCCTCTTATCTCGACTTTTCTGTCACTAAAGCCTGTGACTCAGACTCAATACTCTGCTCTTTTCTTCTGACTTCTTCATTCATCAAAGCCTCTTTGACCTGATCCAAGGTCAAGACACCATCCTGAGTTGAATTACTGATTGACACTACCAAAGTGTCCCAACTGTTTGGAAGAGAACTAAACAATAACAAAGCCCGCACCTCATCATCTAACTTTAAACCTACATTCACACTTGGTTCAACAAACCCCAAACAAACTCAAGTGCTCATTCATGCTAGCACCATCTTTGTACCTCAACCTCGGTAACTGTTTCATGCGCGATGACTTATTGATGCCGGACTTCTTCCAAGACATATTCGGATTTTCTTCCAAAGTTCATCGCCTTTTGTTTCTCCCGAAAAGTGATGAAACACACTTTGATCAATCCACTGTCGAATATTACCAATGATCTTCCCGTGCATATCAGCCCACTTTTTATCACCATATCACTTGGCCTACCTTCATCCCCTAGAACAGATCAAACAAATCTTTGCAATACAACAAGTCTTCCATTCTAGGTTTCCACATATGATAACTGGATGAAGTCAATTCAATCATCGTACCAAGACTCGATGACTCTTCCATTTTATTGGTGTAACACCTCCATCGAACCGTAGCTCGATGCCACCGTTGTGGCGGAAAGGGTATAAGCACAACACACTGCGAAGCGAGCCCCAAGGAAAACTCCTTTCCTACTACCAATAAAATAGGACAACCACCCAAACAAGCAACTAACTCAAGAATCGATAAAATAAAGAAGGCACGCAAATTTACGTGGAAACCCAAATCGGGAAAAACCACGAGATCGTAATAACAGTCAAATCTCCACTATCACAATAATGGGAAAACAGTCTTCACCAACCGGTGGATACAGGACTTCACCCAAAGGTGGATTACAACAATACTCTTCCACACACACCTATCACAAAGTAGGACTGGAAGGATCTAACCAAAAGAGAGCTAAACCGAAAACTAAACCCTAGCTTTCTTTCTTTTTCTCTCGTACAAAAACAATGCACGGCTGCCCAAACTTTTCTTCTCTTCTTGGCTGAAAACACACCCCTAAAAATTATACCAAAGCCTTGCTTTTATAGAGTAAAAAAAACCTAAAAACAAAAAACCAATTGGAGTAGGTTTTGTTTCCTAAAACCAAAGCCAAAATTGGCTTGGTTTTATTTGTTTCCTTGTTGACCCAATTAAGGGGAATACCGGGCCCAACACATATTTCATTAAAACAACGTGAATGGTTACGGCCACCGGATAATAAAATTTTAATTTTCATTAAAAATCATATTTCTTTCGTCCTAAAATTATTGTCCAGTTTGAATTTTTATTTTGGTTCAAATTATACTAAAAGTGAAATTCGAAACTGGACAATAATTTTGAGACAGAGAAAATATAGTACTTTATTTTTATTTTAGGACTTCACCATATAAGTGGTCGTGGCTCGCGGGTGACCTTGAAGAGAAATAAATTGACACGAAGAGAGGAGATCTTGAGGTTCAAATGAAACCTCATTGTTACTTCTTCGTGGGTGCATAACTTTTTTATTCCCAAATACATCAAATTTAATTAATTTGGACCAAAATGATTGTTATGATGTTGAAGTATTTGTTCGGAGTAAATCCTGTTTTGCTAGAAAAGAGAACTGCAGTATTTTCAAAATCTCAGTGTGACAGACTAGTTGACCAATAATTGGGCGGGCATTTCTTGTACAGTATTAATAGAATAATGTTATGTGTTGCAGGATATAGTTTCTGGAAGTTTTGATAGCTTGTAAATTCTCTAGTTCCAGTGGTGTAGTTTGCGTCTGAGGAGATGTAATTCGTGACTGAAGTTTTGTTTGATACAATAAAAGTTTGCCTTTGATGGAAGAAAAAAAAATAATACTCCCTCTAATTTATATTATAAGGCATTTTGATTCATCCTAAATTTTATTTATTGTATTCTTTTATTAAAAATAAAACATTAAAAATACATTTCATATTCATTGTGTTCTCTAAATGAAAGTTAGAAAAAAAAAAATCAAAATACCTTATAACAAGGAGTAAATGGAGACAAAAGTGTTGGAAAATGTTGGAAAATGTTGGAAAACATTGGGGTGGTTGTGGAATAGTTATTGCTTGGAGCTATTAACTGGGGGTATGCAAACCTTGACATGTTGGTGTTATCTTTATTGCTTAAGCGATCCACCTGTTCTGGAAATCATGGTGCTTAATTATGTTTGTCGAATAGATGATCCATGTCATTAAGTCAGCTCCCATTTTTCCAGCTACTATTTATTGATATTAACCAGAAATGCTTCACTAGGTTATGCTTAAGGTGGAAATTTTGTTTTCAGTAAAGTATCTTTGTTATGCGTTCTTGTTTGGACTGCCGTACGATCTTTTAAGATTACAGTTCTCTGTAATGTATGTTTTGAGGTATGTTACAGAGTAAATCTAGTTTTTTGTATCAGTGATTGCGTTTCTACTCAATTCAGATTGATTTCACATTGGCATTAACGAGACAAAACACTTAAAAGACCTGTTCCCAGAGATCACAAAAAATGGAAAACTAGACAGTAAGTTTTGTTCAGTCTTGCCAGTTGCCACCCTCATCAAACGCGACAAAGTGACCCAATTCATCGAACGTAGTTACATTTCCTGTGGTCAACTCAACTGTAGTTTACTCATTTGTCAATTACTTCATTGAGTTCACATAATTTATTGGCATCATCTAGTATTCCCTCCATTTCAAAATAAGTGTCGTTTTAACAAAATAAAAAAATTTTAAAATAAGTCTCGTTCTCACATTTTAATGCACCTTTTGTCCAAAATTTCTAAAATTACCCTCAAAAAAATTAATACTATTGGTGGACATCTTTTTAATGGGATGGTTAAAGTTATTCAAGTAATTTTATTACCATATTTAAGAGTTTCTTAAACTATGTGCAAAGTGTAGAACGACACTTATTTTGGAATGGAGGGAGTATCATTTATATGTCAATGATATAGAAGTTAAATCATACTGTGTACAATATGGTAGTATCTTCTACAAAGTGACTCTCAGGAGGAAATTATTTACCTTTGAATTCTCTTCTGATGACTTCAAATAACATTTCATTCCAGGTATCAACCGGACCCGGCATGCACCAATGCAAGCAATCCTGAGGAGGAGGCTTCCCGTCTGGTCCTCTTTTCGTGATCTTATTCGGGTCAGTGTTCCTGTAAGGACCCGGATGCCCGTCATCGCGATAACCAAAAGCTTCCGTAATGTCCATCAGTTTCAGCCTAGATTTGTTGGTAACCTTCTTGATTGCGCTGTTGAAACCTCTGACCTGCTGATTGTGCATTTTGGTTGTCCATTTATTTTCAACTATTTCACCCGTTGGCTGTGTTTTACCGGTGCATGATCCACCCGTGTTCCACGCTCCTCCTTCATAATGATCCGGTGAGAAAGAACGGACGATGGTTAGGCCGGCGTAATTCGGATGCCTAACAATGGCGGAGAGAACCCTTTCGAATGATATACCGAAAGCTTCAATGTTGTTGAGTTTCATCTTGCTGGACCTTGCTGGCCACCATAATTGGCCTCCAACTACTTCATTGTTCAATATGTAAGCAGATTTCTTAGCAAACCAGTGACCTGAGGAGAGGACTAATACCTCGAATTGCGGAATGAGTTCCATGAAACTTTCATCAGGAACATCAAGGTGGACCTTATCTAAACCATCTGGAGCTAAGTCAAATCTGTCTGTTGTTTTATTTGCAAGCCAAGCTGACCATATCCGAATGATCGTTGTAGAAGTTGATGCAAATTCAAATCGTTGCATTTTTTTGTTCCCCCGATTTGTTGGAACCTCAACCTGTGTGAACATTGTTATGTGGACTAAGGCCCTTTTTTTTTTTTTTTTTTTTGCGGGGGAAAATGCAGAGGAAAAAACAATCAAGAATCAAAACATTAAAACTTACCTGCCAAAGGATGCAGAGCAAGGACTCCATTTGATTCCGGGCGATTGAGTCTCCAACAAAAGCTAATGTTTTCCCCTTCATTAAATCGAGGAATTTCCGGGCATCGAACCGGGGAAGATCACAATTAGTAGGTTTCCACCTCCAATTCTCATAGTCTTTGTCAGGTCTTCCATTTCCTTGACAGTTCTGTGTCTGTGTCAAAACAGGACAAGAGTCGTTCTTGTATAACGGTCCGCCTGACAGTTTTGGCAGTTTCACTATATTTCTTCCACAATTTGCCGTCCATATAAGCAAACAAACTTGAACTAAAAATGGAAGAAAACAACAGGACCCGGAAAGGAATCTCTGACAAATATGAGCTCTTAACCCATGTGAATCAGTCATGATTTTTCAAAAGAAAGATTGAAATAGTCCCTCTTCTTGCAGCATCTTCGTAGTTGAATCTGTAGTCTTCTCTGGTCAGTTACGACTTAGACTGAATTCGCTTTTCCACATGTAGTATCATTTAAACCTTTTTTTTTTTTTTTTGCATCTGTAAAAAAAAAAATGCATCGGATCAGGAGTTGCATGTTACCTTGTTTTGATGTGTTCATCGTCATTAATGAGCGCTCTTACCGCTAATAGTCGGGCCACATGAAGAACTTGCGGACTTTAATGGGTCCGGGAGGCCCGAACCGACATTCAATTTATATATTTCCACCAAAGTGATTAACTTACAATTATGTTGATGCAGGATCACAGAGAGTATGTTTCATTTTTTATACACATTCGATTTTGATGAGAATTTACAATCCTTATACCATGTTAATCGAAACCATGACGGTTCAGTATTAAGTTTCAGTTAGCAAAATAGATGACAGATTGGCTACTCTTCTTCTCTTAACTGTTGCATTAAGATTGGTCGACTTCCATGAATCCTTCATCAGGATTCAGGAACATCAAGGTGGAGGTGGACCTTAACTAAACCATGCGGTTTTTTGAAAGGACTTAACTAGCTTGGGAGATTGGAGGCTCCATTACAATCTGAATTGACTGCACAATTTAGAAACGATTAACGCTGGGACTCTATTATTTTTCTATTTTAAAGAAACAAAGGGACATATCATTCTCAATTTTTGTTTCTAACATACTTGATCCAGTTTCCAAAATGTCCGATTAGTGATGATGATTGATGAACACAAGATCTAAAGAAGAGACTGCAAAATAAGTTATACATTGCAAATCATTAGTACTTAGAGCAGACATCCTAGAAGGAACTAAGAAACAACAATGATCATCGCCTTGTTAAGTAATCTTACATATTTTTCTACATATTACACCTACTACACCCTCACTTACATTATACACCACATTAATCAGAATTTCCAGCTTTAACTTCCACAAGCCATGCATTCCTCCCTGTTTGTGAGAGAGCACACTATCTGAGCCATCCTAGTCTCATCATCATCAGCCACCTTAGGTTTCTCCTGCATCAGAAAACACAGATAGAACAGATCAATAAAAGAGTACAGAAGAATATATAGGTTTAAGGCTTTAAGCGAGATAGAGGATTATGCAGGAAATTAACAGCACCAACCTTAAGCATCGAAGTGTCCACGGTGAATTTGATAGCATCAGCTGCAGCACGCGATCGTAAGTAGTACATCCCGGTTTTCAGACCCTTCATTTCCAACACAACATAAGCTGATAAGTAATGGTTTCCATTTGGAACCTAAAAAACTATTTCATCAACTTCAGGCCACAGGGGAATTGCGTATCATAGTCAATAGAGATTTGTCATAGTTAGTATGCAGAGCAAGTAAGTAATAATTCACAAATCAGACATCTAAAGAGATATTAGCATTGCAGAGAACATGATCTAGGGATAATCACAGTAACTGTGTCAATTTACCTTTGACCAGGCATGATAATGCAATGAAGTAAGCTTTGCAAAATTGGGCTCATCCATATGGATGTTGAGACTTTGGCTTTGGTCTATGTAACATCCACGATCCACAGCCATATCAACAACTGTCCGCTGTCTGATTTCCCAAACAGTCCTGATGGTAATGAATTGTATAAGTATAATGAAAACACAAAGACAAACGAAATGTTGAAATTGGCTTCTTAAAATATGCACATCCATACTTATAGATAAGTTTCAGATCTTCTGGGATTTCAGGAATGTTCTGAACAGAGCCATTGTCATAAATAATCCTGTTCTTGAGTGCAGGAGTCCAAAGGCCCATCTCGGTCAAGTCATGAAGAAGATGCTTGTTCACCACTACAAACTCGCCACTGCAAAGAACAATAGTTGTTACAAACCGTTCCTGACATAAACTCAAAAGTGGAAGAAGCCATTTGGATAAAGTAGATATACCTTAGAACTCTACGACTGTAGATATTGGAGGTGTATGGCTCAAAGCATTCATTATTTCCAAGAATCTGGCTAGTTGAAGCAGTTGGCATGGGGGCTACAAGAAGAGAATTTCTTGCACCATGTTTCGATATCATTGCTCGTAGAGCATCCCAATCCCACCTATTCGATGGTGTAACACCCCACATATCTGGCTGGAGAATGCCCTGAGAAACATAATTACCAAACTTGAATCAGCACTTGTATAAATATCTACGTATATAATGCCTATTTATGATTAACTTGCTTGCAGATGATCATAACATGGAAATCAAGTTGCAGCTATGAACTATGGTCATACTTATCAGTAAACCGATGTTTCAAACCAGTTAATAAGGACCTCATAAAACCTAACCACCAGCATCCCCATTGCTGTGAGCCATAATTAATAGTCACTAGACAGGCATTATCTAATAGCCAACTGGTAACAGAATAGTGACAAGATAACACTTGTAAGAGGGGAAAGAGCCCATTAAATACCTTGCTCAGAGGACTTCCATTATAAGTTTCGTATGACCCTTCAATTGCAGCTAATTCAGAAGAAGCTTTAAGTGCATGATAGTATATGGTCTCAAAGATGTCTTTGTTGAGCTGTTGAGCCTGTGAACAATGAAAGATGACCAGTCAGTCATTTAAAGAAATTCCTGGTAGTTGTCATTAAGCAGAAAAAATATTACCTCAGGTGAATCAAAGGCCATCCCAAGTAACATTAAGGTATCTGCAAGACCCTGAACCCCAATGCCAATGGGTCTGTGACGAAAATTTGACCGCTTTGCAGTTTCAACAGGGTAGTAATTGCAATCAATTATCTTGTTCAGATTTGCAGTAATTATAGCAGTGACCTACTCAAAGAAGAGGAATCAAGTCAATAAATAGTTTATTGAAATGAGGAAAAAGAGAACAGGATACAGATGTCTTAATCCCAACCTCACCAAGCTTGTCAAAATCAAAGTATCGATTTTGGGAACCTCTACTGCCTACAAGTTTGGAAGGTTGTGATTCTGAAGAGATACCCTGCAATAAGGACATAGGGCCATTCAACATTAGTGTCAGAATTAAGAGTAAAATAATTCTCTTCTCTATTAAATATATCTCAATAGGATATCCACCTTCTCTTTAACATATCGTGGCAGAGCAATTGATGCCAAATTGCAAACCGCAGTTTCTGTTGGACTAGAGTACTCAATGATCTCAGTACATAAGTTTGAAGATTTAATTGTTCCAAGGTTTTGCTGGTTACTCTTCCTGTTGCATGTGTCCTATGTAGGCAACCCAAATGAAGAGATATAAGTATATAGTCAATAATTGAAAAGCCAAAATCAGCGGTAGAGCAAACAGAGAAGCGAACCAACCTTATATAGCATATAGGGTGTTCCAGTTTCAACCTGAGACCTCAAAATTGCAAACCAAAGATCTTGCGCTTCCACAACTTTTTTTGCCTTGCCCTGTGAGTAAATGCCATTAGTCCATGAACATCTAGAATGCGAAAAGCCCTAACCAGAGGCTGTAGGCTATGTACCTGCTTTTCATATTGGTTGTATAGCCTTTCAAATTCCTCACCCCAACAATCAGCCAATCCTGGGGACTCACTTGGGCAAAACAAGGACCACTTCCCCTTCTGCCTGACTCTTTCCATAAAAAGATCAGGTACCCAAAGCGCATAAAACAGATCACGCGCCCTATGCTCTTCCTGGATTAATAGAAACTCAAAGGATCATTAAAACAATAAAAATGCTCAAACAAATCAATTTACCTTTGAAACTTGAAAACTAATATTCAAAAGCTAAGTTAAAAATAGTAACTCAAAAAACTTCAACCACGAATCAAATATACCTTCCCATGGTTTATCTTCAACTCCAAAAATTCAAATATATCAGCATGCCATGGCTCAAGGTACACAGCAAAGGCACCTAGAGATCACAAGAAGAATGAATAGATAATTCAGAGTGTTTTCCTTAATATTATATATGCTCAAATGCACAAGAACATCACATACCCTTCCTCTTGCCACCACCTTGATCAACATAACGAGCTGTGTCATTGAACACCCGCAACATCGGAACAATACCATTAGATGTTCCATTTGTTCCACGGATGTAACTTCCAGTGGCACGAATGTTGTGAATGGATACCCCAATCCCACCAGCTGATTTGCTGATAACAGCACATTCCTTCAGTGTGTCATAAATACCCTCAATACTGTCCTCCTTCATGCACACTAGGAAGCAACTGCTCAACTGAAATTCAAACAAATAATATTAGAAGACAACAGAATTACTATTGGTCTAAGTAAAACCTAAGATTTCTTAGAAATGAACAAAGCAGTTTAACTGTAACATACTTGGGGCCTTGGAGTTCCCGCATTGAAAAGAGTGGGAGAAGCGTGAGTAAACCATCTTTGAGACATGAAATGGTATGTTTTTATAGCAGAATCAATATCTTCTTTGTGAATTCCAACAGCAACCCTCATCAACATGTGTTGAGGTCTTTCCACTACCTTGCCTTGTATCTTCAAGAGATAAGACCTCTCAAGGGTTTTGAAGCCAAAGTAATCATAGTCAAAGTCACGATCATAAATGATTTCACTGTCCAGACGTGAAGCATTCTGGAAAAGACAAAAAGACCATTAATATTCCACAAACTACAAGCAGCCTAAAAGCAGGTAATGTAACATAAGAATTATAGAAGAATACTATGTGCATCCAATATCATACAAAGAAATCATGTGTTACCTTCATGATTATCTCATAAACATCATCAGCAATTAGAGGAGCTTTTAGCCCTGACCTCTCACTGACATGGGCATACATATCCTTGACCCTGCAGCCAATTAAAATAAACAAAAACATGAATCCAAATTATTCAATTGATTCAATTAAAGAGAAATCACCATCCAATCTATTCAAATACTCACGTTTCAGAAAATGATTTCTTAGTGTTCTTGTGCAGATTTGAAACAGCAATTCTCGCAGCCAACTGCCATCAAACAATATTCTTGGTAAGCAAATAATATATACGGTGTCCAGCAATTCAATAAGTCACATACACATAACTAAACACGTAACCAAAAAAATTGGAACTAAATCATAAAATATATAAGATCTATCCAGATCCACCATAATTTCCACTGAAAATATAAGAATTATGCTATGTATTAAAAACTAATGAACAAACAAAAAGGTCTAAAACCATAAGAAGTTAAAAACCAGGAAAGAAGGGCTGGCTAACTCACACAAGCATAATCAGGATGGTTGGCGGTCATGGCGGCGGCGGTTTCCGCGGCCAATTCATCGAGCTGGCTGGTAGTGACGCCCTTGTAGACACCAGCACAGACTTTCTGAGAAACCAGAACCGGGTCACAGTGTTCGCTGCTGAGCCCATAGCTCAATTTCTTCAACCGGGCAGTAATCTTGTCGAAATGAACCGCCTCTTGCCTCCCATCTCGCTTCACCACATACATTTCTCCTTCTGTTTCCTGATTATCGGAATCAAAAATAAAAACTTTTTCTTTGAGGAATTTTGTCGAATAGGTAAGAGAGAGACTGAAAGAAGGCCTGCAGAGAGGAAACTATAACAACCCTACACAAATGAGCAATCTATATATAGCGGGAAAAGTGAATTAGGTTTTGAATTTCGTACTGAAAAAAAATCCCGATTTTGGAGAGGTGGCTGGTTTTCCCTCTAAAAGATGAGGAATTTGAGGGATGAAATTCGAAAAGTTCCCGCCAAACGCTGGGTGAGTTCTGGTGGCGGGGGGAAAAAAACAGGCGAGGAGGGATAAGGGCGAAGGAGCTGGAAGATGGGGTCCACTTAGGGCGGCCTTTTCAAATAAATTTAATGTTTGAATTAGTTGTTTTTTACGTGATTGTTGGGCCCACACAAAGAATATGCAAGAAAAGCTTGCAGTGTAAGCTTTTTGGGCTAGGAAATTGGGAGTTATTGGATCCCGATGAAATGATTCGTTGTCGTTTATTATTTTGGAAAAATCAAAAATGTTTTGTAATCAGTTTGCTAGTTTGAATTCAAAATTTTCTTGTACATACTTGCAGAGGAAGCCATCTTGAATGCAAGAAGATCCAAAAAAAAAAAAAAAATTTTGAATAATATATAAAAATATACTCTATCCATTCTTTTTTACATATTTTTTTAAGAGAATTCATTAAAACTATGAAAACATTAATTAATATAATTAACATATAAAAATATCCTTCTTTATTGTCTATATATCACAAATCAATAAAAAAATTCATTATAAATCATTTTCAATGCAATGATAATTTTGGTAAAAACTGGTCAAATGCGTATTAATTTGTGAAAATGACATATATTTAAAAAAAATTTACAAAGCTGTAGAACGACATCTATTTAAGAATAGAAAGTGTATATTGTAATATATAATTCTATAACGGCCAACAATAACGTCAGCGCAATTTTTAGCTTCCAGAGTAAAACTTACATTCTTTTTTAAAACCGCCCTTCGAAGTCAAGCCTTTTACCAAATATTTTTCTACGAGTTATAAGATAAAATTTGATTTACTTAAATAAAGAGAAGTATGAGTTATAAGATAAAATTTGATTAATAACTTAAATAAAGAGAAGTGTTTGATTAACTAGGCACTAATCTGAATTTTTTTTTTTTCAAAAGGGACAAGCTGTTTTTTTAATAAGGAATACGTTCACAATTTTATTTTTGCCTTTACTTTGTTAACTATTGTTTACTCCGCACATTATGCAGATTGTTTATGATACAGATGAGGTTAATGATTTAACGATTATATGACATTTTTCGATGGAGTAATATATGTAAAAGAAAATATTAATCGTGTAAATTGTCGTTGAGTAGTTTTTTATGTCGATATGTGTTGTTATTTTAAATATATATGGAATAACTTTTAATATTGAAATTATCCAATGTAATTTATTGTCCATTTTTTTCATTTTGTTGATTTATAACTTTTATTTTTAAAAAAATTATTTTCTTAATTATTCATAATGATCTCTCTAAATATTTTTGCCCTTGTCATATCTTTTAAACTCTCCTTTTAATAGAAAATTTTGTTATTGTTTCTTTCGATAAATTTATCTTATTTTCCATCTCTCTGTATGCCTTTCGCAACTTTTCTTTATAAGTTTGTTCGTATATTTTTCCTATAATATAGTATTTACTTCACTTTTTTTTTGTTGCATAGCTTTCATCGTTTTTCCGCCTACATGCGACGACCTTTCTTTAAAATTCAATTCCTAAAAAATTTTTAACGATCATTTAATTTTTTTCTATTATCTCGGTTTCTTTTCTCATATTTTCTTATTTTCTGCATATTTTTTCTTCTACATAATTATTTTTATTTGTCAATATGATTTTATTCAACTATTTGCCTCTCGCAAAGATCTCTATTCTTTTTCTTATGTTGAAAAATTTTCTCCATATTAATTTATATTTTTTATGTTTTATCATCATAATGTTAATTTTTCCAAAATTAAATATGGAAAAGATATAATGAACCAACTAATTATTTTATTTTTTGTTGCAAATTACCAATTTTCATCAAAGTTACACATGCAAAGAGAAAAGCAAAAACAGACTATTTAGCACCGTGTGGAGAATTAATCTTACTATATATTAAGGAAATTTTTTTCACAAGACACATGTCAGTTAATTAAGTCATCTATAATATTCAATTGCGCATGTTATCTTCTTATTCGTTGAGACTTTTATGTAGTCCACATGTCATCTTCTAATTCGTGGACCTTTTTTACTTGGTATTTTATCTAAGTAATATTGTTAATTTAAACACAAGGTTATTTTCTAAAAAAAAAACAACTTCTTTCGAATTAAACTTTTGAAGCCGACGATCTCCGAAACATCTCAATGAACAAGACCGGCAGATCACACTGCGTATCATTTTCCTAAAAAAAAATCTATGGTATTAATCCGATGCAATTTTTGCGATGAACACTAATCTTTCAACCAAGAATACTGGCAGAATCTCCATACCTCCGCGGAAACATTGATTCGTTGATCCGCCAAGAACTCCAGCTTTTTTGTATGGCTACATCAATCCGCCAATCCAACAAAAATTCGTCATCTCTCCCCATCAATGTTGGACCCTGATTATTTTTTCCGAGAATCCGACATGATTATTTTTCCCTGAACACTGCTTGGCGACAAATCGTCGATTGTTTTTTCAGCCGCCTACTTTCTGTGTGAAGTCATCTTACTACTGCAACCATAAGAAATTTAAAAAATGGAACTACCAAACTGTTACGTCGACGGAGAATTCGTGGTCAATATGATCTATCTTTCTTTTAGGTATGTAATTAGGAAGATACCGTCATGATGGGGGCGTTTTTTCCGCATAATTGATTTTAGAAATTTAATGGATCCGATCGATAAGGTATTATTTATTTTAAAAATCAAAGTGAAATTGGTTTTTATCTCACCCTTATTTCTTCCTTTGAATGATTTGATAATCTTCAATTAAAGTAACAACTTAATTACGGAAAAGAACCCGTAACTCATGGTTCGAATTTGAATGTGATTCTTATTACATTGGCCAAAAACTTATGATTAAGTCGTTTCTGCTATATGTATCATATACACCCGTAAATATATCCATCACACAATCGCTCCCAAAACACACACGAACTCAAGCACACCCTCACCGAGAAACATTTATTCTTTGTTATTTTCTTATTTTGCAGGCCGTGTCAATATCAAGTAGACTCAAACCTATGAGCCAATTGAACGACAAGTCCCGATGTGGATGGATGATCATTAAAAATTTAGTCGACTCACAAAGAGATATAGAAGCTATATGAAGGTATGGTTTCAATCGTCATTAATCTTTTTGTTTTTTTGTGGGAAATCTAATGAATTCATGTGAGTACTACGTCAAGGCTTATTGTCAATTTCAAAAATATACTTACATTGGTTTATCATCAATTATATATGTAGTAATGGAGTCCTAGGATTTTTACGCTTTACCGCCCCGTGTAGCTGAGTAGAACCTCAACCACAAGCTACATCTCTTTCGAAATGGTAAAACCATTTCGTTTTTGTTTTGATTCAATTACTCACTTTTTCTAATTTGATAATTGTGTTTGCTTGGATTTGGTTTTTCCTCTTAGATGATCAGTTGTACAGCTTTAGAAAGTGTGTGATGGAATCAACCAGAATTGGAGTGGTTTTGGTTTTATTTTTCAAAGTAAGTAGTTAAAAATCATATTAGATTGCAAAGTAGTATCAAATCAAAACCAACAACTCCAACTCCAGTGACTAAGTTCATCTTCTTTACTTATATTCTTTATTTTTCTTTTGCGATTTTTATTTGGAATATTAATATCATTTTACATAACCATTTTGAAGGTGAGGCTACGGGCAAAGTAATGAATTAATATTATTTTTTATGCTTTTGACTTTTTAATTGCTTAATTTAATTTGGATGGCATGAAGGAGAGTAGGAGACAGTCCTCCTTTGATAATGCTACGGGCATGATCAGAAATTTACTCCCTACCTATATGAATCAAGGCTACCGGCAAGGTAATGGATCAATGTTATTATTATTATTATTATTATTATTATTTGTTTTTGTTTTTGTTTTTGGCTTTATAATTTCTTAAATTTAATTTGTGGGGCATGTAGGAGAGTGACGGCTTCTTTATCATGATATGATATTTCCATGATGTTTAATTTTTTCAAATATAAAAAGAAAATTGGCACACTATAAATTTCATCATCTATAGATCTTGAACTAGCTATCACGGTAGTTCTCAAGTAAGTTAAAGGAGGAGAGGAGTAAGTATTCAAACAAATAATTCTCTCCTTTATTGAATCATTCTTCACTTCTTAATTTTTGTACTTTTAAATCCCCTTTGTAGAAGGCACCACTCAAACATGTGTAGCTTATCTCATTCGGCATAGTCTACGTTTATTATCATCATTAGTTCAATATGATTAGTATAAATCAGCCAACCAACAAAGTAATGGCTGGTGAAAACGATCATGATGCACCAGAAGTAGCAGCAAACAATGGCGTTGGCAACATATTTTTGCGGCTAATGAATGAACGGTTTCTCTAGAAAAGAATGGGTGATGGCTGAGATCGGCATAAATACTTCGAATTTATAGATTTTGCTGGGGTATATAGTTTTGTTGGCAGCGTTGGGTGGTTTTAATGGTCGTGATCATTGGATTTATGTCGTAGTGGTGGGAGGTGGCTTTCCTGATAGTGCTATTTGAGTTGCCGTACCAGAGCAAGTTGGGGCTTTTCTAGCAGCTTTTGGTGGTGATTTCATTGTGTATGACCATATATATTTTTGTTTCAATTGTATTTTACAAACTTTTACATTGAATGAATAAGGTTATATATTGGAAGATATGGAAATTTGTACAATTAACAATTTAGAATTTCCCCTGTTGAGTTGTTCATATTTGTTTTCTTCTCCCTTTTTGAATTCTA